TTATGATCCCACCAGTTCTTGCTTACAGGCAAATGATATTTCTTGCAGATCTTCCAATGCACCATTGTTGCTACTTTGTCATGCCGCTGCTTGTAGTCAGTCTGTGCGATCTTCTTGCAGCAGCTTACCAGGTGGTCCACTGTTTCTTCAGCTTCTTTGCATAGGCGGCACTTACTGTCTGTTGCTATCTTCTCAATTTATTATTATTGTTGTTGTTGTTGTTGTTGTTTTGTTGTTGTTTTGTTGTTGTCTTGTAATGATTTAATGTATAGAATGCTAAAGAGGACTAGGCAATTCAAAATAGTCCACATGTATTGATCTATGGATCACATAAATTTTGGTTATGATAATATTATATACAACTCGGCTGAATCAGCACATCTCTCAAAATGTTATATATGGTAGGGGTGTTTTTTTATATATAGAATCATGTCCAAATTTGGGAGACTGCCCAGACAAGTACCTGCAGTTTTCTTGGCAAGCTTTTTCAGAAGTGGTTTGCCATTGCCACATTCCTAGGGCTGAGAGAAAGTGGCTGGCAAAAGGTATCACCGAGCTTGCATTGTGTCTAAAGTAGGACTAGAATGCATGGTTCCCAGTTTCTCGCCTGATGACTTAACCACCACACCAAACTGGCTCTTAGATTTTTCTACACCCCACCAAATATAATAACTGAATGTCCTAAAACATTTAATTCTTCATATGTTACATAGCTGTACTTAATCAATGAGATGCCTGAAAATATTAAAATGTATATAGAACATTGAATTAGCTGATAATAGTTACACAAAGTAGTGCAATTAATAGGTGTATTTTTAAAAAAAACATTTTTCTTTTTTAGTAATGGACCCTCATGAACAACTGAACACTCTACAACTTCTAATTTATGTTCTACCTCCCTGCAACTGTGACACCTTACATCGACTCCTTCAGTTCCTAGCTACTGTAGCCAGCCATGCAGAAGACAGAAAAGATGAAGATAGCCAGGAAGTACGTTTATTTCACTGATTTTTATCATGAAATTAGCACTTCAGTTCATCTTGAAGCAAAATGGATGGCAAACAAATGAAATGAAATAAAATAAAATTGTTGTTGTTGTTAGTTGCGAAGTCGTGTCCGACCCATTGCGACCCCATGGACAATGTTCCTCCAGGCCTTCCTGTTCTCTACCATCTTCTGGAGTCCATTTAAGCTCACACCTACTGCTTCAGTGACTCCATCCAGCCATCTCATTCTCTGTCATCCCCTTCTATTGCCCTCAATCTTTCCCAGCATTAGGTTCTTCTCCAATGAGTCCTTCCTTCTCATTAGGTGGCCAAAGTACTTGAGTTTCAACTTCAGGATCTGGCCTTCTAAAGAGCAATCAGAGTTGATCTCCTCTAGGACTGACCAGTTTGATCGCCTTGCAGTCCAGGGGACTCGCAGGAGTCTTCTCCAGCACCATAGTTCAAAGGCCTCAATTATTTTGTGCTCAGCCTTTCTTATGGTCCAACTTTCACAGCCATACATTGCAATTGGGAAAACCATGGCCTTGACTATATGTAATTTTGTTGGCAGGGTGATGTCTCTGCTTTTTAGTACGCTGTCTAGATTTGCCATAGCTTTCCTTCCCAGGAGCATGCGTCTTTTAATTTCTTGGCTGCAGTCCTCATCTGTGGTGATCTTGGAGCCCAGGAAAATAAAATCTGTCACTGCCTCCATTTCTTCCCCATCTATTTGCCAGGAATTGAGAGGGACGGATGCCATGATCTTGGTTTTCTTGATGTTGAGTTTCAAGCCAACTTTTGCACTCTCCTTCTTCACCCGCATCAAGAGGCTCTTTAGTTCCTCTTCACTTTCTGCCATTAAAATAAATAAATAAATAATATTGTCATGGTTCCGATAGATGAAACCCATCAAAAGAACTTCAAGGCAAGAATTCTTCCTTAAAGAACATTTTATTCAGGAAACAAAGTATCAGCTCTATATAGTTGAACCCAAAACTAAAATCCCTTCCTCCGGATACAAAGTAACAAATTGCAATTCCCACCCCCAATAAGCAGTCATAAATCATGTTCTCCAATTAGCCTGAAACACAGGCTTTCTCTCCAGGTCCTCAGCCCGCCAAACCGTTATCAGTTGGTCCTTGATTTCCCACAGAGCAGCGTTATTATGGCTAGCTGAGCTCAAGCATTCATCCCAACCCCCCTTCTGCACCTGATTTCTAAATAGAGGAAAAAGCATGATAAAAGCAAAGCGGAAATGGCTGCAATTTCCATCAGTTGTCAGAGCGGGAACATCCAATGTTTACAGCGTTGACATCCAGCCCCCCTTTACAAAAAGGATAAATCCTGCAATTCAAACAAAATCATAGGTTAGGGGTTACCTCTCAGTTTATTACGGTGCTTATTGTAAAATTTACTAATGAGCCGGTCAGCTTTTACATCACTAGATTTTACCCAAGTGGCTTCGGATAATGGATATCCTTTCCACTGCACCAAATACTGTAACTTTCCCTTGAAAAGTTTAGAATCAAGAATACGCTTTACTTCATAATGGGTCTGTCTAGCTACCACCGGAGGGCCAGGTGTCTTCTTAGGGGGAAGTCGTAAGGTAGAAACCCGAAAGGGTTTCAGTAGGCTATAATGGAACACGGGGTGGACTTTCTCTAAGAGTCTGGGAAGCTTTAACTCTACCATAACTGGGTTTATGATTCTTACGATGTGGAAGGGACCTAGATATTTCGGTCCCAACTTCTTACTAGGCAACTTGAGCCGTAAATATTTTGTGGATAAGTAAACTTTCCCCCCACCTGGAATGACCTTTGGGGAGCCCTCTTTTTTATCTGCTTGTTTTTTGTATTCTCGGAAGCCTTCTTCAGAGCGAGTTTTGTTTTTCCCCAAACCTCCTCCCACCCCTTCACCCACTGGTCAAGCATTTGAAAAGTAGAGGGTCCTTGAGGATATTCGGGGTTTGGGTTAATGTCATAGTTCCGATAGATGAAACCCATCAAAAGAACTTCAAGGCAAGAATTCTTCCTTAAAGAACATTTTATTCAGGAAACAAAGTATCTGCACTACATAGTTGAATCCAAAACTATAATCCCTTCCCTCGGATACAAAGTAACAAATTGCAATTCCCACCCCCAATAAGCAGACATAAATCATGTTCTCCAATTAGCCTGAAACGCGGGCTTTCTCTCCAGCTCCTCAGCCTGCCAAACTGTTATCAGTTGATCATTGATTTCCCACAGAGCAGCGTTATTATTATGGCTAGCAGAGCTCAAGCATTCATCCCAACCCCCCTTCTGCACCTGATTTCTAAATAGAAGAAAAAGCATGATAAAAGCAAAGTGGAAATGGCTGCAATTTCCATCAGTTGTCAGAGCGGGAACATCCAATGTTTACAGCGTTGACAAATATTTTGTTCAGCATTGTGATAAGGAATACAATTAATGAACCATCTTATGAAATAAACTTTGTATTATTTCTAAACAAGCCATGATAATTTACGTTTAAATCACAGTATATTTGGTTTTATTAATTGTCACTTGCTTTAATAGACTTAACTATGTTTGTTTCATTCTCTTTTTCATTAATGCAAAGGGATTATTCCTGAATTCAGAAACTTTTAGAACGTGCAGATTTCTTAGGAGAAATTCCACACACAACTTGGTGTGGCTATTATTGATTCCCCTCCGTTGAATGCTTTTATATATGGCACAAAGTGACTTAGAAAAGGCAGGATCCTAGCCAGGTTAGCTAAAACAAAACTACCTACATAAAGTGCTAGGAATCCATTGCCAGTTAAATAGTACAGCATTTTATTTCTTTTGTTTTTAGATCCCTGGGAACAAAATGACATCACTCAACCTAGCCACCATATTTGGACCTAATCTATTGCACAAGCAGAAGACAACAGACAAAGAATTTATTGTTCAAAGCACAGCACGTGCTGAGGAGAGTGCTGCCATTATTGCTGTTGTACAGAAGTTGATAGAAAACTATGAAATGCTCTTTATGGTACGTGAAGATTTCCTCTCTTTTTGCATTTAACAAGTTTTTGTAGAAAATTTTTAGTTTAGTCTTTACTTTTTTAAATTGGACACTACGTAATAGTGTCTTTTTAACATGTTTTAACACTTAAAAATATTCCCTCATGAGTTGTCTGTACAATAAATAAATAAAATAGGACCATAATAAACAGAAATTAATATTTGGCATGGTGAAATACTGGTAGCATAACAAATGCTGGTAAAAGAAGGCCATTGGCTATTTTGCCCTGTGGAAACATAGCTCTTAAAATTAAAAAAAAAAGGAAAGTACATATGAATTTATTTCTTTATTCCTATTTCTTCAAAGAACTTCTATGATAAAGCTAATTATATGTTTATTTCAGTAGATTTATAGAGTAATAGTTCAGAGCTGATATATAAGCAGGTAACAATCATCGAAATATATGCTTCAAGTTTTCTGTTTACTAAATATGATGTTCATGTTTTTAATAAAGATTGTATTTCTAGTGTAATGGTATTTCCCCATTATTAACATTTACCGGTAGATTGCATAACATAGCACATGTATGAGTACTGTGCTTGCTGTATCAAAACATGACTCAATAATTCCCATAATCCTCTCAGGAATATTTTGCATACTCATCTATCACCTATCTAGCTATCCATCACATTTTTTAACTGGCAGTCTCCTTCAAAGTATTTGTAATAAAAAATTTTGAAAGGCAAAAATAATTAAACCCAGTTAAAAAGGCGAATAGAAGGCTTTCTGTCTCTCTCTCTCAATAATGGACAAATACAGTATAATTGCTAATTTGCTTAAGATTTTAAAAAAATTGGATACTTTCAAGACAGAAATATGGTTTTGGATTATGTTAATATTTGTAAGAATAGAGTTTTTATTAATGCGGATATGTACAGGTGACTGTGTTGGTGTATTTGTTTATTGTTTCTATATATATTTACCTTATAAATGGGGAACGGAATTAATTAGCCTGCCCATGGGCTATTTCATTTATAATACATTCATTTTCTTATCTTTTTTTGCAGTTCGTTTGAACTTGATGTGTAAAAAAAATTGCATGAAATTTGTTTGCCTATTTCTTGTAACAATTACCAGATAAATAATCTTGTAGCTGTAAGGACACCTCCCCCCAGCTGACCCCTCAAGAAAGTAAAACTTTTGAATCCATGTAGTTGAATTAAAAGAACTTTAACTGAGAGAAAGTGGTTGCAGGAAAGTCAAGTAGAATCTGAAGATCCTGCACAACACACAAAATTATTCTTTCAGCTTCCGCAAATTCCAACCCCCAACCAGTCCACCAGCATCCAATATGATGCTGCGAAGATGTTTTGAGAATGCTGAGGTGCTAGGCAGATAATAGGTCATTCTCAGGGCACAATGGCCTTGGAACCAGGCTGGAACTGGCTGGGAGGGAGTCTGCTTCATCTCCGAAGACAATCCCCCTCAGTGCTTTGAGGTTTTTATGATCAGTCGATACCTCGAAAGGCACTTGGCTCTTTTTGAGGAAAATGCTTCTAGGTCAGAAGTGCCCAGCGCGCCGAATAAGCTTCTTTCTCCCACACTGCCCACCTTTGTTTAGTTTCTGACAGTTTTCTAGATGTGTAAGTTTGCAGCTGACCCTGCTCATTCTTCTGCAATAGTACAGCCCCCACAGCTATGTCACTAGCTTTGGCCTGAATGACAAATGGCTCATTTGGGTCTGGATATTTCAGAACGCGCTCTGCTGCAAATAGACATTTGAGTTTCTCGAATGCTGCCTGACATTCCAAAGTTCATTTCGGGGGCTGGCTGGGTTTTGGTTTTTCTTCCCCCTTCATTTTCAAAAGATTAGTGAATGGATGGAATGAACGGTGGTAAAACTTTGCAAAGCTTAGAAAACTTTGCAACTGTTTCCTGGTTTGGGGCAGAGCTTAGTCCAGTATCGCTTGAACTTTTTGGGGGTCCATCTCTATCCCGTCTTGTGAAATGCGATAACCTAGTCTATTTTACTTTGGTGAAACTTGCACTTGAACAGTTTGGCGTACAGTTTGGTGGCTTTTAGTTTCTTGACCACCGCCCTCACCAATTTCACATGCTCAGCCATAGTTTCAGCCATATTTAAAGAAAGGTGAAGTGTTTTATATTTGTGATTATATTAATTCATATTTAAAAACAGAGGTGTATAATTTTGCTATTCATTCTTTTGATGTTTTATTAATGTATAGGTCCCAGCCGACCTTCAAAATGAAGTTCTAATTAGTCTGCTTGAGACTGATCCAGATGTTGTAGACTATTTGCTGAGAAGGAAAGCTTCCCAGTCATTGTGAGTAATTTGTTAATTTTCTTTTATTTGCCTCCATTGGGGTAATATTATCATAATTTATCATAATTGTCCAAGGCTTCCTATTTCAGAACCCTTGGCATATTTATTTAAATAGTAACTATGAATAATGTTAACCATTATGAGTTAAATTATGTACTTCTTTTATAAAATATTAGCAATTATAACCCTAATACCTTTAGAATAATCTTTTAATGGTTTTTATATGACTATCTTAATTTTCAAGTCTATTTTAATAAAATTAACTTTAGTTAAATGTCTGAGATTGTCCAAGGCATTTAGTGCTCCATCTGCACTAAAACCTGGGTCCATACGTCATGGCAAAAGTGCAAATATGTCTGCACTTAGAACTTTTTGGGCTGACAGCATACCTAACATTTACATTGTAATAAAATTTTAAATAAATTATTAAACAGAAGGTTAGCGTGTTGCTAAGAATTGAACTCAAGAATTTATTTTTAAAAATGTTTCTGGGTCCCATAAAGAAAAAAGAAGCATTTTAGTCACTAAAAGATAGCCAGATTGCAGCACAGTGCTTGTTGGGATGTGTGCCTATCTGCCTAGAAAAAAGATCAACTCAAGCTGAGACAGTAGATTACATCCTGGAAAGCTGTGTGAAGTGACACCTTAACAGTGTGACTTTCAGTCAATGTTTTGTATTTGGTCCTGCCCATGATAATATGCCATTTGTGAAAGTGCTTCTAAATGCTTTTACAATTCAGAATGAACCCAACAGTTGGGAATCTCTGTTAATTAATTTAATCTCTGTTCTTCTACCTTTTATAGCTGTGAGGGCATAGAAATTCCAGTGGATGAGATCTTTCCTCTTGTTCAAAAATATTTCTTAACAGTTGATTCCTATTCAAACAAAAATTATCTGCACATATTGCTTAGTTTAAGAATGTTTAATATTTACAACTGCTCAAATCTGTATAGAGCCTGACCAAAAAGGCCAAGTCAAGTAGATAATAGCACCTTTGGTGTCTTCTTCTAGCAACTGATAATTGACAGATATAGCCATCTGATACTGGGAATAGTGTCCTTATTTTCCATGTTAAATTTGGCTTAGTACAAAAAAAATATGTGAAACATGGCTGCTTTGTATGCATATTATTTTATTCTACTTTGGAAATGAAGGATGATATGTTACTTCCTTAAGCCCTGATCCCTTATTTATTCTTAAGTCATCATTTAAATCTCCTGAGAAGAAATATATCTTTTCAACATTTTCCAATAAATCATTGGGAACAGTTTGTTGTAATTCATAGTTGATAGGACCAGTAATTGTGCTACTTATTTCAACAAGAGTATTCAATGTTTGAAACGACAGAATTATCACTGTAGTTTTGTTCTCCTCTTAGATGCCTAATTAATATTGAAGTGCCCAGGAATCATTTTAATATGTTTTGATACTAACATGTTTCCAGCTGTAACTGCGAAGTCATGGGAAAGAATTTGGCTAGAAGATTAGAGGGACAATTTATTCATCATGAAAAGAAAATGACAATCATAGGACACATCTTTTTTTCTGTGTCAATTTGGAGAGACGACTACATATTCACTGGGCTATTTTTCCTGATAAGCTGGAACCAAAAAGTGAGATACACATGTCTTGGGACCATCTTAATATTCTTGATAATGGATTTCAAATCTTGACATGAAAAACTATAACTCTATAGTGAGAAGTGAGCACATGTCCATCAATAATTGGTCATATATCATAGTTCAGTTGCTACTTGTAAAATGGGCATAGTGATTTTCTATGTAGACTTTTCTCTTGATCAAAACATTTTCTTGCATCTACTTTTTCTAATAACTTCACTGTTTTTCTTTTTAACTGGAAGACTATCTGCTCAGTCACAATGAAACAGTACAATGTTATATAACACTGTTTGCTAATAACAGTACGGTGTTGTCAGCCTATTTCTAGAGTCTTCTTATCCTTTCTAATATGGATTTGTCAGGATGAAATTCATCCCTAACTCCATAATAAACTAAATCATCATTTGAAAATGAAATCAAGATTCTTGCTGTGAAAGATTTCTTGTTAAATCCTAAATAGAACATAGAATGCCCATTGTAAATTCTTAGGGAATATTGTTGAGAAAAAATATTTTTTGAGAAAAAAACCTAGAATGTTCAACTTTTAATCAAGGTAAGGTATAATTTGAAAGCTTTTATATAGTTTTATTTTATTAAAAGTAGTATTTAAATGGACTGTCCTTTGTTCTATGGTCATTGTTTGTTGCAGTTGCCTTTTTTCATTATATTTCCTCAATTCATTATATTGTACTCAGTAATGTACAAAACACTTCCTGTGTTACATCAGACTTACAACATGTTCTTAAAGCTTTCTTTTTTTAAATTAGAATCTTGGATATAACTGTGTTGAATATAATGTAACAGTAATTTCACCTACATTGTGTTGATTCCCTATAATTGTTCTCTATTAAGGCTGTTATTTTCTGTAATTTTTACTTTTATTCTATCCACATATTATTGAAATACACTGTTCTTTACATGGGCTACATTTTATTAACTCCTATTTATGTTTCATTTTATCAGAAGCCCTGAAATGCTTCAGTCTGAAGGGTCATTCTCCATAGAAGGTAGACATTCATCCATAGACTCAAACAGAACCTCAAGTGGCGATATATCACCATATGACAACAACTCTCCAGTGCTATCTGAAAGATCTGTTTTGGCAATGCAAGAAGATATGTCCCTCACTTCTGATAAGTTACATAAAGTACCAGAACAGAGCACATTAGGTAGCAATTTTCAGCCAAAATCAAAAGAGAATTCCTTTGGTATGATCAGCATATACCATAACTATGAGTATATATTGGTTCTAATATCATTGTGAATATTCTTTTATAGTAAAAATTATTTTTATTGTAAATATCATTTTTCTTAGTGAATTGATTTCCTTAACAGAATAGAGTCAGACTGCTAGGGTTGGTCAGATACAGTTTATCAAATTTAAATTACGGTTCCTAATAGCAAATTTCTGGTTTTAATTTAAAGATTGTCTAAGAAAACATTCTTTGAAAATGTTTGATAAGATTTTATAAATATCCAAACAATATCTATCCAGGTGAAAAGATTTTGTTGCAATTGAAAAGGATCTTTATACAGAAGGCTCTTCAATTATACTAAAAAGATTTAGAATTTAGTAATTCAGAAGTGCAGAGTTTGTACATCAATTCAGATGTACAAAGTCAACTAACCTGCTAATACAAAATACATTCCATTCCAGTCATAGGTTTAGTGTTCTAGTATACGAACATCTCAATATCTGCATAATATCAGTGCAGAAATACAAAACATTTAAAAATGAAATCAATTCTAATTCTTTGCAAATATTTCGAATTACAGGTATTGTACATTTTTCTTGAATCTTGAATTTTATCTTTGAATTTTTGAAAATCACATCTTTCATTTTTCAATTGAAGAATGTTTGTGCCAGAAACAATCACAGAATGAAAAAATTTATGAACCTAAAGAAAATTATTTTGCTTAAAAGGGGGTCCCAATATTTCATGCTCCTTTTCATCTGAGAGTTTCACTGAGTCATACACATGGGGATCTATTGCCCATATTGTAAATAAATCCATTGAGGTAACAAAAGCTCTTGACATCAAATTAAAACATTGTTTAGATCCAAGCTGTTGTTTCTGTTCTTTGGTTATGACCCACTAAGATTTTAGCTTGATATCAAGAGTTTTGGCTACCTCTGGCTGCCTTGTTTTCTTGTGGCGAAAATAAATTGCAGTTTTATTATATGCTAATGATAACAGTGTTACTGTCACAAATGTCAGTTGGACTGAAATAAGGGCTGAAATAAGCCACTAATTGTTCCCAGGAAGTACTTGAAATTTGATATACTAAAACTAAGATCTTATTTTTGGCAAAAGAACCCTGGGTCTCTAACCTGACTATATAACTAATCAAAATCTTTAAATATTTGGGTATGGTTTTAATAACTCTACCAAATGCGGGTCACACTAAAATTATTTAATTCAAAATGCACAAAAATTAGTGGTAGCAATGCAATCCTTCTACTTCACTAGATACATAGCTTCTTTACCCCTCTAGAAAGATTCAGTTTAAATTCTTAAATAATATATTCCAAATGATCCTATGTGTAGCTAACATAGTACAAAGCAGGGAAACAGGTTTGATTAAAGTAGAAATGAGTGCATGGATTTGTATTAATTCCAATGGAAGAGAATATATGTAGCTCATGAAGTGTAGAGTCCCTGGTGCTCTCTGACCCTGATTGCCTGCCTATAGACTCGAAGAGCAGCCTGATTAGAGAAATTGAAGGCTACCTTCCTCCCCTCCCAGTGTAAGTACAGGACAGGGGTGAATAAAGCTACAGGCTTGAAACAAATGTGGAGGAGGAAACCCACATTTTCTCTGCAACCAGTAGCAAATAGAGAAAAGCAGCTGAATAAAAGAAGGCATTTTTTTCCTTCAAAGGGAATGGGTGATTCAGAGGAACAAGAACTATAGAGGCACAACAAAGTCAAACACAATATGAAAAGGTGCAAGTATTCTACATGCTGGCTGTTAACAGAAAAAAAACCAAGAAATTTCAAAAAGGGAAATTAAGGCCTAAAGCAGAACAGGATTTATAGAAAGAAAGCATTATTATAAATAATAGTATAAAGTAGAGCATTGTAATAGTAGTTGAATAGAATAAATAATAAATAGTAACTAGCATAGTAATATAGAAATAATAACAATAGAATAAAATGGAATATATTATAATGGCAATAGAAAGCATCCACATATAGATTTGCAAGTTTCACATTGAACTTTTATATCTTCTTGTTTTACAAAATAAAACATCTCTTCAGGATCTAAAAGCTTTAAAAAGAATAACACTACTACACATCAAAAATCTATTAGAAATGATCAACAGACTACTGTAACCACACAGTATCATCATAGCACACAAGCCAACTAAAGCCCTCCATCTTAAGTAAACCAAAAGACATACTAACTGAAGAAGAAAAAAAGCAATGCAACATACATTTTAAGGATTATAACAACTGCTTGTAGGACAAACAGGCAGAACACTAGCAGAATGTGTCCATGAACAATAACTAGCAGTCAGGAGACATGATGAAACCTGTTTAATCTCACAACATGTGGCAAACTCAACCATAGTTTCACTTGGGAAGCTGTGCATCCTTGACCAATCTAAATCCAAAAATGCTAGGGAATTCCAAGAAGCTTGGCATTCAGACAAATCAGCCATCAATAGATATATAAAAATAAACCACACAGATAATTAAAGCTACAAAGGAGACAAAATTACCTAGAACACAGTAGTCTACACCCAAAGAAGCAGGGATTAGCACCAGACAAACAAGCAGAAAACAATACCATAATCAAGGAATTACCATGGAGAAAGCCACACGCTGATTAGTACTGATGATGTAATGAAACTGCAAGCAAACAACCAAACTCAGAGTATCAAGGACTCCACATTTGTACTGATGCCTGGATAATTTTTTTTGGGGGGGGGTTCCTCCAGAGGGTCTAGGCCACGTGTGTCAAACTTGCCATGTCACGTGACGTGTCACGACGTATTGCAACTTTTTTTGCATTGCCGGAGCTGGGGTGGGCATGGCCTCCGTATGATGCAACCAGTCCACGGGCCGGCAGCTTGACACCCCTGGTCTAGGCAATTGACTCTTAGCAGATAATTATAAATTAATGTAGAAAAGGATAGTCTTGAAAAAAAGTACAAAATTGTGGTTATATAAGAGCAGCCATCCTGATAAAGGGATAGGGTTGAACATTTCCTGCATTCAAAGTGCTAAATATTTGAAAACTCATTTGGAACAATCTGACTTAATCAAAGTAGTCAATCCCCATTTTTTTAGGTTTGTGATTTTTTTTATTCTATTCCATTGTGTCCATTGCTATGTACTCCAAAGAGTACAATAATCAAAACAGCTGTCTCAGGGGAAAATACTTAAATATTTCTTATGGATTAACATTTTGCCCTTGTGAAGGAGATATTGAGTGCATATTTTATGTCTTTTTACATTGCACCTGTCCTATCCCTCAGACAGGTCTGATTTATGTTTTTATTTTGCTATATTTGAAATAACAATTATTTTAACTATTTTGCTAAATGACAGAATTCTGGTAGATTATTGTAACAAAGAATACTAGAGAATATATGTAAATTAGGATTGAACTGTTGGACTCTTGGTTGTTCTCTCAGTTTGGTAGTTTCTATGGGGTGAGGTTTATTTCTTGATAATTCTTTAAAAATACCCTTATTAAGAAAAAATCCAAGACTAGAAGTACAAGATGCTTCAGTCCCCTATATACCGATGATGTTACCTAGCATAGTACATCTGCAGGAAACAGCTAATTTCCGAGAAAATTGAGAACCCAAAGATTATCGCTACTGCTACTTCTTTCTAATTTATATCTCTATTAAATATCAGGATTACTTACATTCATATTCCTTCTAATCCTATAGATGTGTCAGAGGACTGTTTCCACATCTGGGGCACCTGGCATTCAACTCTGAAAAGTGGTTCCAAAGGGCTGGGAATGATAGGTATACATATTTTTGTATTGAATAATTATCTGATTTGATTATTTATATAATAGCGCTATTTCATTATAGTATTGTACTAGAAGAGGACTGCTAATTCTCTTTCTCCAAAAGCCATCCACTTTATAAAGTATGGTTCAGTGAACTATACTTTACAAAAGTTTATACACATTAAAAAAAAATTGTGTTTGAATATCACAGGAGTTTCTACAACAGATTTTTTTTTGCAAACTTTCAGATATTATTATATTCAAATCAAGGCACAACTATCTGTAGAATAGTTTTCAATATAGAGCAGGACTATTTGTATGGAAATGTTGTGTTTGTATATGTGAGTAATCAATAGTAATTTTAGATATCATTCCCAAACCTGATGTAAGATCCCAATGCCCATGTCATTGTAGATTATCTCAAAAACTATGTATGGTTTGTTTTATTATTGATTATTCTCTGTGGTTTTTTTAGAGTCATATAGAGACATCTATGAGAGCAGCTCCTTGCGGCCAGGACAGTGCTCCCTTTCTCAAGGGAGCCTGTCATTGTCTTCTCCTCAGTGGCGGGAAAGCAATACAGAGCTAGATAATGAAAAACAAGTCATCCAAAGGAGTCAGACAACAGCTGCCCTTTCTGGTTGCCGTTTGCATCCCCCTCTGTCTCAAGTCTACAGCACCCCAGAGATTGAAGTAGGTAGGAAGAATTCCAGCCTGTCCAGTTCAAAACATCATTCACCTATAAGATATACAGAGAACTTGATGGAACATGATTCAGATGCAACTTGCCTGCATGCTGCATTTAAGCCATCACCTCTAAGGCAAGCTGAAGTAATTCGAAAAAACAGACCACCACCTCCTTATCCTGAAACAGCAAAACAAAGCAACTTATCATCCCTCCAGCCAGCAGTATCTTCTACAGGGTATCCATTGTGGAAGCTTCAGAAGACAGACTTATCTGGGGCCCAGGGAATGAGGATCATCACTCAGGTGCCTGAACAACCTACCCAGCATGAGGAGCAACAGAACCAAAATGAAAGAAAGTACTCCTTTCCAGATAGTGAGCAGAACAGTAAAAATTTGTCAGAGACAGACTGGCATGGTTGGCAAAGCGATCGATGGCAAATTTGGGAGATTTTATCACCTGACAATCCAGATGTGCTCCCTGAAACATTAGTATGAGTGGAGAAATCAGCAGGTCTTTTCGAAATAGGGAAAACTGGTAATGGTGGACGGGATTTATACTGAATTATTTTTTAAAGTTTTAATAAAATTAAATTTATTAAAAGAATTTTAATAGCAGTGTAAAATTTAGTAACACATTTTTGGGGTTTTGTAGAAGGAAATTTGAGATGGCAATTTCAGTCCAAACTACTCTGTGAAATATAAGCTGTGTATACAATAAAAATGACCCAGGTTTTGTTAAGATACATTTATGTATCTGCAGCTCAAATAATTGTATATTATGCCGATGTTTTCTGCGCAATAGCATTGTATTTATATGCAGAAAAATAATCTTGAATGCTTTTTTGAAAATATATTTTAATCATGCACTGCTAATATTAATATACAATATATTGATATCATTGGAAATGCACAAACTGGCTTCTATGCTTTTAATTAATCTGTTTGTGAAAGATGTATATTTTCACTGACAAATAAGGTGGAATGAAAACATTAAAAGCCATATATTTTATAGTAAGGAAGTTAAAGAGTATCTAACATACTATTTGCTTGCAAAGAAAATTTAATGACCACATATTTTTACTCTTTTAGAAAGCAATTCCAGTCACCTTTTCATAAACATGTCCATGCGTACACCATATACAAAAAGATCCCAAAGATTCTTCTACCCATTCCACATTAGGCTTGTAAAATTTTGACATGGATGAGAAAGTACAGGAGAGGGTGTTTATAAAGTTTTGTTAAAACTGTTTATGTGACAGACCCTTTTGAATTTTCAATATTTCTTTATAAATATGAACTAAAATGTGATCTGCTCTCCCCATAAGTCCTAAAACTAGATAAAAAGAACCCAATTAAATAAATGAGCCAAAATCCCTAACTTTTATATATTAAGGAAAATTATCTAAAGCTACTTATCCAAAGCTACAAAAACTAAGTGAACCTTTGCTTTTCAGTAACTGGTATGCCCCTGTTGGAGAACAATAACAACAACTAAACGTTTCCAATAACTGTTGATCCTGCACATTAGCTTGGAGGAATTCTAGCTCATTCCTTCTTAGAGAATACCTTTAGTTCAAGAATGGTAAGCTTCTTTGCATAAATAGTCCTTTCAGGTTTTTCCACAAGCCTTCCATAGGATTACAGTCAGGAATTTGATTTAATCATTCCAAACTAACTTTCTTCTTTAACCATTCTTTGGTTGTACAACTTGAGTATTTGGGATCATTGTCTTGATGCACGACCCACTTTTTTCTGAGTTTCAGTTCATGGACAGTATACTGATATTTTCCTGAAGAATGTGCTGGAACAATTCAGAATTCCATCCATGATGGTAAACTATCTTGGTTCAGAGGTACAAAGGAGGCTCAAACCATGATACTGCCACTACCATGATTCACAGATAAATTTCTTATCGATATATAAATAAAAATGTAAATGTTCGTTTGTTCAAAATCTTAAATCTCCGAAAGTTCTTCACTGATTGCTTTGAAATTTTGACACAACGTTGCATTCGAATACGCGCGTGTTTTTATATACCTACTATTATATAGATGTCACACCTGTGACAGATAAAAACATTTAACCTGTCTGAGCCACAGCAACGCATGGCCGGGTAGAGCTAGTGTTACAATATAATATTTGCCAAACATAATGCTTTTCAATCAAGCCCAAAAGTTTTATGTTGGTCTCACTTTCCATAAAATATTCTTTCAATAGACTTCTGGCTTATATATGTGGTCTTTTGCAAATTGTAGATGAGGTGAGCAGCAATGTCAGCTTTATTTTTTATATATCTCCTTTGTATGAACTATGACAACTTTCTACATACCCAGAATCCTGTTCTTTAAATAAGGCAGGACCTTCCATACTCACACTTGATTATCATCCCATGGATTGAAACACCTGACTGATAATCCTAGAGGTTCATATACTGTACATGTTTTAAATCATTTTCCAATAAACAAATGAACAAGTATAATGTTTTGACTCATTCATTTAATTGTGTTTTTACCTAGTTTTAGGACTTTTATAGAAAACAAATAATGTTTTAGAACATATATATATATATATATATATATATATATATATATATATATATATATATATATATATATATATATATATATATATATATACAGAAATATTAAAAATTCAGAAGAGTTCACAAATTTTTAAGCACCATTGTACTGTATGTTTTTATATGTATTCATGAGACCTGGATTCCTGACAATTAACTAAAAATATTTTCCTTTTTTAACCAACACAGTTGGTTAAAAAATCCTAAAATATTGATAGAATTCCATAAGATGATTCCAGTGCAATGTTGTATTTGTTAAATGTCAATATTTTGTGCTTTAAAAAGTTTTACTATCATTCAGCATGGGAGAGGTCCATCTATTACATTCTTTTATTATAAAAATGCCTTCCTTAAATTTCAGTGGAATTTTACCTAGTGGTGTCTTTTAAGTTATTTCTTTTTTTTTATTGAAAATTTTATAAAAGTTTTACAATATAATTCCCCCCTCCCCAAAACCCACCCTTCCACTCCCCCTCCCTCCCCCCCACTTC